CTAAAAATAATCAAATGGCCCAATAATTGTAAATAATTGTTAAAAAGCTTTTTAATTTATTTCCAATTTCAAGATCTGAGAATTTTTGTCATGATGGGTTTCTGGATGCTAGCCCATATGCAGAACACAACTCAGAGACAGGGAAAAAGTTCAAAGGTTTAATTAAAGAAGAGGTGCAAAAACAGGTCAGGGGGGGTAATCAGGTCCAGGGCTGGTCACGGCTGGGTTACTGTCCTGGAGTTTGAGCAGAGCAGCAGAGGAGGAGAGAACCAGGAGGGTTCAGAGGCTGTCGGCAGGCTGAGGGCTTGGTGGAGGCTTAGCTTGGCTTGAGCTTGTAGATCTCCAGGTTAGAGTTTCCCTTCCAGATTCTTCTGGCAGCAGGCTGGCTGATCTTTGACAGGTTAGGTTCTCCAGGGTTCTTCTGAGGTCAGACAGACAGATTTCCACCAGAGAAACTCTTCAGGGGGTTTCTGGTTTCTGGCAGGTTCAACCTGGGAAACAGAGAAGACAAAACGGATCAGGTTCAGGTTCAGGTCTCGTAGTCAGGAGACTAGACAGACTGGTTGGCTCAGGGTTTGCTGTACCATGATTGACTAACACTCTGGCACCGGAGTGTGGTCCTCAGCCAACTTAAATGCTGGTCTCCTGATGAGCAGATGAGGAACAGCTGGTGAAGTCAGCTCCAGCTTCAGGAGATCCCATACGCCCTCTGGTGGAGAAAAGGTAGACAGAACCCCCAGATCCCAACAATAACAAAAAAATCCCCAGGAAAGGATCCTCGGCGCCCTCTGGTGGGCAAGCCTCAGGATCCCAACAATTTTTGCATCACTAGCGAGGGTTTACAATCATGTGTTGTTGTTTTTTTTTTTTTTAAAGTCTGCATTGTGCTCACACAACAGGGCCCACTTACTATTTAAAAAAAAGAGTGATTGTAAGCTCATTCAGGAACAACATTTCTGATGGATTCGTTTTCTATGTTAATGCACATGCCGCCCCTTGTGACATGGCACCCTGGGTGGTGTGCTTTGTTGGAAATATGAGCAGAAGCTGCTGTTTTGCCTGAAAGAGGACACATTCAAGTCTGACTAGACTTCTGCTCTTTGTTTTTGGAGCAAAGTTATCTACACACTGAGCTCATTTCTTTTGTTTGTCAGTTTCTCCTGTCATTATTGCAGTGTTTTCTCAGGACACCTACATTCCCCTTATCCTGGAGCATTTCTCCTGCCTTTTGCTTTAGTCTTTTCATTTTGCTGAGCATCTTATTTGTGAGGCGGCTTTTTGCGGATCACACATAAATTTAGAGAAAAAACAGACGGATACAAGCCGGAGTACCCAGAGTTAACACACAGATGTACAAGGAGAATATGACAATTCCACACAGAGATTGGTAGTAACTAGCTAGCTTTACTCAGTTACAGTTACCTAAGTTACTTTTGACAAAAATATACTTTTAGGGTTATATTTACCGCACATACTTTTTTTTTTGCATAATACCTTTAAAAATACCACATTACCACATACCATCATTAGTAACTTCCCTAAATCCCAAACAAGCTTGTTGTTTGTTTTGTTTGTGCCGCAGTTAAAGATCCACTGAAATATTTATTTCAGAATGTGTGTATTTTTTATAGACAAGCGTACTTTGATATCTGACAAACCCACCATGACATTTGGAGGCCAAGCTCATAGAAAGTAAATAATGTCATTTGAGGAGCTTGCGTGAAAAAGGAAATTGGTTTGAAAAAGTCTAAATGAGTGGGTAAAGCACAAAGAAAAAGCTATTTCAAAAAGGATTTGAAAATACAAATGGTAATCGAATAAGTTAAACCTTTATTTTTAATGTGTGATTAGCAAAGGTATGAACTTAAGTGTTTAACTCTCCATTTAAAGGAACAATTTGAAAGTACATTTTCAAATTGCAGTTTCTAACAGTGGATTATTTAAAAAATTTACAGTTCATCTGTAATAATTCTTTTTTAAATATACAATTAGCAAGTGCTTTTCAAATAGGATTTCAAATTGCATGATTTAATCTTAAATTTAAAATGGCTGTTTTTCTTTTTCAGAGACTCTCTGGGTCCTCCATAATCAACAAACTAAATATTGAACAGGTTTTATATTTTAGAGTAAACTAAAGGTAGATTACGGACATGGAAACCTTTTAGCGCAGATATCTGCCTCAGTTATCAGGGTGATGTCTAGGGGCCACTTTTTTTTATGTGTGTTTGTGTTACAAGTTTTTCAGCGTGATGCAGGATCATCATTTATTTATGTGTAAATCAAGTTTTTTGGATAATCTGACTTAATTATTGGTCTGTTTGCAGCGTAGGTGATCATTTGACTGCTCCTGGTTCTAAGGCTGTCTGGTTTTTTTTATGTTACTGTTATTTGATCTAACTGCTGGTCACAGAAATGGAGCCAAAAGTCAGAAAAATAATGTAAAATTCTGTAAAATGGAGTTCAAGTTTAAGCCTTTTTCTTTCTTTCTTTGAAATTCTTTTTAATGTTAAATAGGTTTTAATTTATGTTTCACATTTTATTTCTACATTTATTTCTATTTTTCAGATTAAGTCTTAAAACTTTCATTTAAACTTACCTTTGACCTTGAAGTAGAAATATGAAATCTGTTAAAAAATAACATGAATAAAAATCAAATACAATCGGGTAAAAAACCCACTCTCAAAACATTTTCACACAGTTTCATTTCTGGATACCAACATTTCCTTTCCTTAGAGCAGGGGAAAGCAATTAAAAATCAGCGGGGGCCGAATAAAGAAAATCATAAACTAGTAAAGGTCTGGAGACATTTTTAATTATAATCTGTTATTTTAAACAGAAGTTAACACTGAAATAAAAAGCAGGTTTAATTTTTAAATAAAAAAATAGAAAATTTTTCCATTTTAAAATCTAAATTGTTTTTGAAGGACCATGGTCTGCTAATCCATGACCTCTGCCTTAGAGCAATAATGGAACAAAATTCACTCGCTGTATGCTTCTTGTTGCCATGTTGATTCTCGGCTAAAAATGCACAAAAAGCAAAGTTTACATAGCCAATAAGATCCTAATAAGAGCCTGAGGCTTTAACAAAAACGGCTAACCTTAACATACATGATGTTATAATTCCAGAATCTGTCTGTTTCATTTATGCCTTTGCTCTGTGTCATGTCTCTCTTTCAGGTGTCAAATGCAAACCTGGAGGTGGTTCGCCTTTTTTTCCGCATCCTGTCCCTCTTCATGATGATTTTTTTGCTGTGTCATTGGAACGGCTGCATCCAGTACTTCGTCCCAATGCTGGAGGAGTTTCCCACCGACTGCTGGGTTCGCAAGGAAAACCTGATGGTAAAGGTTGCATAGCAGTGGAGACTATAATGATAATAATACATTTTATTTAACAGCACCTTTCTAGAAATACAGAAACATAAAAACAATTATGGGGAGGGACAAGAGCAATGCATTAACAAATAAATGAGCTGGAACAGATGGGTTTTGAGTCTGGTTTTGAATAAGGAGAGAGAGTCAATACTGCAGAGGTCAGGAGGGAGAGAGTTCCAGAGCCGGGGGGCAGAGCGGCTGAAGGCTCTGCTCCCCATGGTGACAAGTCGAGCTGGGGGTACAGTGAGGTGGATGGAGGATCTAAGGGAGCAGGAGGAGGTGGTGATGTGAAGGAGGTCTGACAGATATGGGGGAGCAAGGTTATGGATGGCTTTGAAAGTATAAAGAAAGATTTTAAATTGTATTCTAAATAGAACTGAGAGCCAACTATACTGAAAAAAAAAAATAGAAGCACAGTCAAACTTGTGTGTCTCAGATGTGAAACACAATACAAATACTTATTGTGGATTAACCGATCTATCTTCAAGCATCACACGACAACCATCAGACTTCTATAATGCGGTTTTTGGCTTTGGTTATTAACACGGACGCGACAGTGACTGCTGCAGCGTAACGTCCAGCAGGCAGGTGTCTCTAACTCATGTTTTCCAGCCCAAAAAATGTCGCCTGGATATACCTAATCTCACCCAATTTAAACCAAAGTCTATTGATGTCGTTGGCCATAAATCTAAAGAAAAAAATTTTTCACCCATAGACGGCCATCCTAAACTGCCAGATTGAGAAACATCCCAACCTGGCAACAAAGCACATAAGACTGGAAATGTTAGCCTTTAGATGCAAAACCCCATCATGCACCACAACATATTTTTGCAAAATATTCAAGCATAAATTTGGCAAATATAAGAGGAACATCGTACAGTAGTTTGGTTTAAAAAAAAAAAGCATTTTGGTTTTATTATAATTTAGTTTGTTGCAAGGATTTTACAGTTTAAAGAAATAGAAAATTACACCATGCCAACCGTCACAAGGATGTGCATGACAAGGAAGGCCTATATATACTGCATGCATCATCTAGGTAGTTAACCTTGCATTACTTCTTGAGCTCCTTGAGTTATTTACTGTCACAGGTAGGAGCTTCGGCCACAGAGTAAGTGTTGGGGCCGGTATCACGATGAAATTAGGACTGGCCCACCGGGCAAATGCCCGATATCACAGATTACCAGTCCGAGCCTGATTACAATAATCAAGACGGGAGGTGATGAGGCTGTAGATAAGGACAGAGGCAGTGCGCGTTTTAAGGGAGGAACGGAGGTGGTTAATGTTGGGAAGGTGGAGGTATGCAGACAGGGTAATGTAATTTATGTGTGACTGAAAGGAGAGAGAGAAGTCGAGGATGACACCCAGACTCTTGATCTGAGGGGAGGTGGAGACCAAGGAGTTGTCAATGGGTAGTGAAAACTTACTGATTTTGAATAGGGTTGCTTTGTTGGTGACAAGGAGGATTTCGGTTTTATCACTGTTTAGTTTAAGGAAGTTTGAGGTGAACCGTTCTTTAATCTCAAGTAAGCAGTTAGTAAGGGACAAGGGGGGAGTGAGGAAGTGGGTATACTGTATAAGTAAAGCTGTAAAAAAGTAAATCCTCGTAATAGTGAAAATTAATGTTGAATTTGTGAAAAATACTGCCAAGGGGAAGGAGGTAGATGATGAAGAGGAGGGGGCCAGTCTGTAGAGGAGGACTGATACGTTCAACTAAAGAGATAAACCTTTGGATTCTATATCCTTAGTGACTTAAGTTAAACTTCACTTCAATTACTTTTTGGTTACAGATTTCTTTTTTTGAGGCTCAAAAAATGCTTGAAGAAGCTAAAAGATAAATAATTGATATAAAAAACCTTGAAAAGTCATTACTGATTAATAATTAAGAAGTTTGTCTTGCGCCACTGTGGAGTAAACAATGTGATCCGATTTCTTCCAGAATGCCACGGTCATCGTTAAATACTCTTGGGGAGTTTTCCGAGCTCTTTCCCAGATGATTGCTCTCTCTTATGGATCCATGGATGCTCCAACAAGTGAGGGTTAACCTTCTCCTCTTTTTTACATGTTTTTTCCCTTTGAATGCAGAAGAATACAGAATATTTTTCCCTTGTTGTTTTACTCTGCAGATTACATAGAGATGTGGATTGTGATGGTCAGCATGGTGTCCGGTTGTATGATGTATACCATCCTTGTAGCCAACGCTACCACCATGATCGCAAACCTCGACCCAGCAGCCAAGGAATACAAAAGCAAGGTGTTGAAAACATGTCCTATATCTTCAGTGCATTTGTTTGATGTGTACAAGATTCATTTCTTTTAAAGGTTTAATTTCTATTTGAGGTAACTGATCATTGTATTTCTGTGCACATCCTGGGAGACATGGGGGTTGGTGTGTGCTACTGCTGCAGAACGAGTTTGCCACATCCTGAAAGGTGTAACTATAGGAGAAATAGAGGAGAAAACTTAAACTCAGGGCCACTGTTTTCTCAGTAGCAGTCATGCAGGCCTTAGGTAATTCATTATCTGTAATTTTTGCTTAATATCAATTATTTTGTTTTAAACAAATCAAATAGATTCACTTAATACTTTCAGATGGTTTTCCCTTTTTGTATTATTCTGAGAAAATTCCCTTAAATAAATGTAAGATCCGGGTTCAAAACAGAAATGAAACAGAAGATCCTGGGTAGTGACATAAAACCAAAAGCTTTATTTAATACAAATACTTTGCAGAGATCACACACCAGCCCAACCTTAATATTTTACAGATCCTATCTGTTTTCCTCAGATCCCAGGTTCATACTGAGGAAAGATAATCCTTGTAAACGTTCCCTAAATTTAAAGCCTCTCCCACTCAGTGATGTGAAACAGTCAACCTCTTAAAAACAGAAATATTCATTTATTTTATTTATCTAGAGTGGTAAGAATTTATACAGCTAAATTTCATTTGAACCGTGGTCTAAAATGGATAAACCATTCTGGATTAAATGTTTATTCTATTTGCTTTTAATTGATTTTGAAATGAAAATGAGTTTATTTTTCTTAAGTCCCAGTGAAAACACTGAAAAAATGTCTTAATTTAAGTTTATTTATTTAAACTGTTTGAATCTTCTCTGAAGATGTATCATGGGCATCTCAAAACAAAGATTGTTCAACATAGTCATTCAGGGGAAGGATACAAAAAGTTGTCTCAGAGATTTAAGCTGTCAGTTCCCACTGTGAGGAACATCATAAGGAAATGGAAGACCACAGGGACAGTTCTAGTTAAGTCCAGAAGTGGGAGGCCAAGAAAAATATCAGAGAGGCAGAGAAGAAGAATGGTAAGAATGGTCAAGGACAACCCACAGACCACACACTACCCGGTATAATGATCCTACTATAAAAAATAAATAAAAAAGCTGTCATATGCTGACGTACTTTATATACTGTATATATCCCATGCACCTTTATCAACCTTCTTCTTCTCTTTTTGACTATTTGAGCTGATTTAACGAGTACATTTTCCACTGTGAGACCAATAAAGTCAATCAATCAATCAATAATTCTGGGACTTTCCACAGATGAGCCGCTTGGAGCATTACATGGCCTTCATGAAGCTCCCACCAGAGCTGCATCTTCGTATCACCAACTACTACCAGGCACGCTATGGAGGGAAGTGGTTCGATGAGAAATACATCATGGACACAATATCCTCATCACTTAAAGAGGTGAACCTTATTAATCTGTTCCAATCTCTGAGCTGCTGATACTTTTACTAAGCTGTTATAACTAAAACTTTTACTGTAAGTCAGTGGTTTTCAAAGTGGGAAGAAATTTGCAGAAGAATAAGAAATAAATATGCAACAAAGTGCAAAAAAAAGTATTATGAAAGATAATTGTAAGAGATAATCAGCATTATAAACCATGGCTTGTAAAAAAAATCCCTCCATCCATCCATTTTCTGACACGCTTATCCCTGCTGGGGTCGCGAGGGGTGCTGGTGACTATCTCCAGCTGTCTAAGGTCCAGAGGCGGGGTACACCCTAGGTCACCAGTCCATTGCAGGGCAACACAGAGAAAAACAGGAAAAACAACCATTCACGCACACACTCACACCTAAACCAACTAACCTAACAGTCATGTTACTGTGGGAGGAAGGCGGAGTACCTGGAGAGAACGCACACATGCACAGGGAGAACATGCAAACTCCATGCAGAAAGACCTCGGGCCGGGAATGGAACCCGGAACCTTCTTGCTGCAAAAATATTTATTTTATCTAAAAAACATTTCGTTGTCTAGACAACTTTTCTCATGTATCCTTAAATTCGTAATCACGATGCAATTGAAAATAAATCCCAACATGAGGCATATCTTGATTTTCCAGCAAATCCTGATGGTGATGTGCAGCCAGTTGCTGAAGAAAGTGCCAATGTTTCAGAACAGAGACGAAAACTTCATCAACGATGTCCTCCTAAAACTACATTATGAGGTTTTCCAGGAGGGAGACGTCATCGTTCGACAGCACGTCCCCGGCGATCGCATGTTCTTCATCGATCACGGAGAGCTCCTGATGGAGACTGAGTCCTATGAGAGGGAGCTCTGTGATGGAGACTTTTTTGGAGGTGGGTTTAATATTTTTTACATCTGAGGTTAAATTGTGAGAAATGTTATGGTCGTAAAATCGTTAATTACTTCTTCTGGTAAACAATATTATAGTTTTGTTTTGTCACCATCACGATTCATTAATTTGTTTTAAAAGCCTTTATTGGAACATTGCTGATGATCATGTTCTGAGCTCAATTCCTTTGTTTTCAACTGCATCATAAGTGGCAGATTTTTGGGAAACTAAAAGTTAAGTAACTAAAAGTTATAGTTTGTTTCTCCAAATTTACACTGTTTTAAAGAGATGCTGAAGTCTTAAACCTGCTTTACAATCAGTCATGAAACAACAGTTATTAATTATTATTAATCTGACATTTTTGTCCTTCATGCAGTTGGTTGGTGTTGACTAACTTTTAATCAAAAACACTCATGATGCTAATGAAATTTTTTCATTGTTTCATTTGCATAAAGTGTGATTTCTCCTAATTGACTTGCAGACAACCAGTCAAATCCAATAGGGTAAGATAACTGGCAATTAAAATACATGCTTTGATTAAAGTATGTCTTATCGACATAAATGATATGTGACATGATGTTTCATCTGTGAAAATACAGGTTTAAAAGTTAAGAATACAGGTTGCAAAGCTACAACTAGCAATGACAAGTAGAAATTTGAGAACCCAGATAAATCTGTTACACTCCTTACCAGCTGGTGGCAGTAGAACGTCTGAAAGGCAGAAGAAGAGGAAGATGAAAACAAAAACCAATAAATCGATTAAAAATTATGGGTGTGTTCAATTTTAAAGGCTGCATCCTCCAAGGACCCGGTCCACCTGGACTGGATCTTTCCAGGTCCGTGAAAATAAGGAGACTGGAGGAGTTTTGGCTGTGAATTCAAACAGGTCTAGCCTTCCCTGGCTTTTACCACCACACGCTGTGTTGCCTTGCAACCGGGAGAGTTGACGCAAAAAGCAGGAAAAGAATGAACACGAACTTTTCACTGCTGTTTCTGCTTATTTATTTTTTCTTTTTTTCTTTTTAAGTGAACAAAGACTTCACTCATGAGAAAACACAGTGGGATAAAGGTGACAACCACTGGGAACATGCACCAATAAAAGACAATGTAATGATATAAAAGGGGTAGAAAGATATGAGTTAATCCAAACAATGTGTAGAAAATATATCTGCAAAATCTCTTATATTCAATAACAAAAAATACTTAGTTAAGCTTATTGTGCAAAACAGCAATAAAAAAAATCATATCAGATTTATAATCCCCACACTGCAGATATATTTGAATCTGTCCTTAAATTACAGCCAAACCCATTTACACAGTAACAGATAAAAACATTTCGATAAATCAAACATTACCACCACATTCCTTACTCAATAACCATTTAAAAAACAAATTTCATTAGTTTCAGACAAACTATTCACATGCTTGTATTAGAAGTAACTGCAATTCCAATATTCACCACTGTTTGACGCCAAGTACCTTTTTCCTCTGAGCACGGAGCAGCCGGCTGGCTTGGTATCGCAATGAGTCACGGGATATCCAAGGTTATGTAGGATACACCGGACCTGTCCATCGAAACGGGCATAAAGAAGGATGCATTTGTCATGTTATCTGAACAGACCCTGGTGCCCCGTTATGAATCGGCCTAAAAATCTGGCCCCTTAATTTGAACTCATTATATAGCAAAGATATAACATTTGATCTTTTTTTTTTTTTTTCTTCCACTTGTTCTGTTTAAAATCAGCTGGTAATCAACTATCTGGTGCATTTTCGCCACCAAGTGCTAAGGAGTTTAACAGCTTCACCTGGGTTTGTAGATCTGTACTTTGAAATTTGCGATCAATAGTTAAAAGTAACTTTGTGAGTTGTAACTTTTTATTTATTTATTTATTTGTCTGTTTTTACGGCACTAGTGGCTCGTTTTTTCGACAGTAGGCTGAGCGCAAAGGGGGTATGAGAGAGGGGAGAGACATGCGGCAAAAGACCACAGGTCGGATTCAAACCCGGGTCGGCCGCGTCGAGGACTAAGGCCTCTGTACATGGGTTGTGTGCTCTATCCACTGCACCACCTGCACGCCCTAAAGTTGTAACTTTTATTTGTATAATTTTGAGCTTATATTCTCACATATGAAACATGTCACATGTAAGGAATGAATAACAATCTTTATTTTTTCCATAATTATTAACGTACATTTGCAAACTTATAAACTTACACATACGTCCTTATTGAGGGTTATCTTACCCCATAAAACCTTACATTATATTTAATGAGCCACAGTGACTTATGTTTCTACGATTCTCTGCTGTACACCAACAATAAAAACATTAAAATACAATAAAAAGATACTAAAGTAATGATATACGCATCATAGCAGGGTGGTTTTCAATTGGATGTAAATTAAATTTCTGTCTCCTCTTAACCTTTAAATGTTGTTATTTCCTATACGGCTACTGTTTGCTTAGTTAAGGGGGTCGAAGCTTTGACAAACTGATGACTTATAGAGACTTCCCTTCACTTTAAATCATTTGCTTAATTCAGTGGCTTTTGGCTTGGCTCTGTCTCAGTTCGTTGGGCATCAGAACATTTAGATCTAACATTGCAGCAACGTCTGTTCACTTAATTTCAGATTAACTGTCAGAGCTCATCCCCGTCATTAAGGTCTGCTCCCTGATTAACTGCTTCCTTCTGTGTCTGCAGAGACATGCGTGCTGACCAAAGGCAAGCATCTGGCCACAGTCAAGGCGCTGACTGACTGCCAGTGCTTCTCTTTGTCCTGGGACGACTTTCAGGAGACGCTCGGGGGCTTCCCAGACATCAAGAAGGACTTAGAAAAAATTATCCTGCTCAACTCTGAGGGTGGAGTTGTGTAAGACCAAAGAGCAGAACTATTTTCTGTAAAGGACTGAATCTAATCCTATGCACTTCCAGGGCATTTGGTTGGCTATGGGGCGGCCATTTAAGAGTTTTGCACAGTGATAAAGTTGAGCACCTTTTAAATGGTGAGACGGATCTTTCAGCTCTAAAACCTACTGATCTGCAGACTGAAGAAAACAAAGACCTCAACATTTCAGGGGAATTTGGGTTTTCTGCCTTTTATTTGTTGAATTATTACAGTTAGTCGCAAAATAACAAACCTAAATGGAAACCTCTTCGCTCTGGTTACTGTCTGATTGGAGCTCAATCTGCTTCTGGGAAACGTAGTTTAATCATTATTTATTCACCTAAATAAGTATTTATTTCATGCTTCTAGGAACCATAGATGTGTCACTGGGGTGTTTCACAAAAGATACCGCATAGTTCATAGGGTTATATACATTCACCGTGGGTTTAATTTTAATATTAACGTTGGGCTTTTAATCATATGATCAAGACTTTATCTTAGTATTGAATTTTACCGCCTCTAATACCCAATTTAAATGTAGTTAAGATCACAAAGAGCAGCAGCATTGTTATGAAGAGAGAATGAGAAAAAGAGTCTGAAATAGGTTTTAACCATAATCAGTATCGTCATAGGAATTTGGACCACATCCAAATTTTTTAATAATCTACTTCTGATCAACGTTTAGATTAAAATTTAGGCAAAAATAGGGGTTTTATCAAGACAATGATCACAAATGGTCATTCAAATTTGTTCTGAAGGGGAAAATAAAGTGAAAATCTGTTTTTAAAATAGCCTATAGCTAAGACATTTTAANTAGGGGTTTTATCAAGACAATGATCACAAATGGTCATTCAAATTTGTTCTGAGGGGGAAAATAAAGTGAAAATCCGTTACCAAAAATGTTAAATAAAACACATTAATTTAAGGTTGTAATATTAAATCTGTGTGGCTCAGTAAGACATACACTAGAAAAACCATCTAGATATAAGTAAAAAATTCTTAAATTAAGTGTATTTACCTTTAATTTGAGTAGGTAAATGAGGTAGTTTGCCAATGGAATGAGTATTTTTACTATAATTAGATAAAATGCACTTGAAAAAAGACAATGCAATCGTGTTTTCTTATTTTAATTGTAAATTGTCTTGTTCCTTTGGCAAAATGTCTCTTTTGCCTCCTCAATCCAAGAATAAATGCACTTATGTTAAGAAAAAATGAGTTATCTAGATTTAGATTTTTTCCAGTGTAGCTTCAAATCTAAAGTGGTTCACCTATTTCCAGGGGCGGATATAGAAAATTTTCAGGGGCGCACAAAATGTCTAAGCAGAGCAGCAATAATAGAACTCTTCATCGAAATATTTCAGAAATCTCTTCCATGTAAAAAGAAGAGAATCAAAAATTCATTTCAAAAAAACACTTAAAAAAGTTAATTTGGTAATTTTCTCTTCTAAGAAACATAGACAAACCGAAAAAAAACACATTTTCCACTAAATAAATAATTACAGAAGTCAGAAAATGAATTAAATTACCAAATAGGACTGATTTTAGCCATCGAGTTCAGGAGATTTTAAGGCAATGATTGTTGTGCTGAGGAGTAAAATGCCTCATGAAGGAAAAAAAATATCATATCTCTTTACTGGAATTTATACAAACAATAAATTCAAAGCAGGTGATCCGTTTAGATAGACTGGATTCCATGAGTCGGTGCCTTTCTGTTCTCCTTCATCTGTGTCCTATATGTTTTCTTCTTTCTCTCTCTTTGTCTCCAACATCTTCTCATCTTCACCTTTATGCTAACATTTATTTTTCTCATTTCCACTCATTTCTCCATCTGTCCCACAATAAGTGACCTCTCCTGTGACCCTCCTGGTCTTTTTATCATCCTTCTTTCCTGTAATCTCACAGACGTTTCTCACTTCTCATCCCTCCCTACTTTTTACCAAAGAAACTACAAAAGTTCCGCGTTTAAATCTGCAGAAAAATTATCACAGCAAGAAGCCTAAAGCAATATGAAGCCAGAAATTATTTATCAATGGTACTAAAAACCATACTATTTAAAAATCCTGTCATCATGGCAGCTGACTTATTTTATTTATATATGAAATAGATATAATAGTATATGATATATATATATATGAAATATTATGGTAAAAGAATGTTTGATTTAAGGGCAGCTTTTGGACAAAACAAACCATTTCAAATATTTTTAAACATAATTAATAAAAAGCCAACACATGTTGGCTCTTATATAAAAATAGGAAGGCAGTGGCACCCTTTAGCCCCCCTGTAGATTTGCTTCTGCCTCATTTTAGTTTTTTTAATCCATTGAAACTATATGTTGCATTATCATTCCACCCTGAAAAAAAGAAGTCCAGATAGTTCATCAAATGCCCAACATTAATATGACTTTCCTGCAGGGTTTTGATGTATAATAATGCCTGTCGCTGCGCACACAAATTCACTGTTTGTTTTTTCTGTTTTTTGTTTGTGTGAGGCTGGGTTATTTGGGGTGTCTTTTGTGCTGCATTATTTATTTTTTTTATAAATACGTTTAAGCTGTTGTAAAACATAAACCCTGTAAAGTCAATTCTCTAGCTTATTATAGGCACCAAACGGTAAGTGAGAACAAAAATATGGAGGAATCAATGGTTTCCCCACATGAGACTGGAACTGACATGTTCAAGGTGAAGCAAAAGCAGCAAACAATAACTGCTTTGTATATTTGCCTCCCCCACCTACTGTAGAAGCAGTGCTGCAGAGACCTTCACACCAAAGGTCAGTTTATAGTCCACAATTCATCTAAAAAGCTTGGTTACTTTTTGGCTTGAGGGAAAAACCAACATAGAGGTTGGAAGAACTTTCTCTTATCTCTTTTTAGGACACTTTAGAGCTCAGAGTGGAAGCTCTGTTTATTCAAATTAAATAAATTCAGGTTATTTATATAACAATTTTATTGAATGAATTCCATCTATTCATATAGACAGATGTACTACATCCATTGTTTCCATGAATACTGAATGAACCACCACCTTTAAAGAAAAAAAACAGGTGTGGATCGTATTTAAACAAAGCTCATATAATATTAATGTTATATGTCCATTTATTCTCTTTCAATATAGTCTATAAATCTGCTTTTGATTCATTTTTCTCCTTTTTTGACAATAGTGGCCTTAACATTACAGACAAAAAGTAATACAATAGATCTGCACTTGAAAAACAATCTAGAAATAAGTAGAATTTTCTTATATTAAGTGTATTTACCCTTAATTTGAGTAGGTAAATGAGATGATTTGCCAACTTAATGAGTATTTTTACTCTTAAAATAAGAGAATTAGGTAAAATGCACTTGAAATAAGACAATGGAATTGTGTTTTCTTACGTATTTTAAATGTAAATTGCCTTGTCCCATTGGCAAATTGTCTCTTTTACCTCCTCAATTCAAGAACAAATACACTTATTTTAAGAAAAAAAAGTGCTTATCTAGATTTTTTTTTCAGTGTGGGCTTATTTATGTGATATTTTGGCTGATTCTTGTAGTTTTAGATCTGCTTTCCTCGCGAAATTATCTGTATTTACCTCAAATTTGTGTCAAAGACGGAGACCTATGTAAAGTTAATTACCATAAGTGCACAGAGTATAAGAGTCAGGAGGCCCCTGAGGGATGTTTTACTTCAAAAGAATAGATGGCTTCAGATTTGTAAATATTCCTTTATTTTATGTAAACCATATTTTTTCTGAAATAAAGAGCAAAACAATAAAACTACCTGCGCTCTAAATTGAGTCGGAGTACCATCCTTTATCTCTGTATCTTCTCATGCTTATCCATGAAACATGTCTTTGCACAAGTTTTCATAACTTGCAGCTCCACATTTTGCAACAAAGTTTGCTTTTGGTTAGTTTTTGAGGGAATAAATATGGTTCATGGCTTTCCATACTTTCTTATTCCATGTTTACAGGTTTTCTTTCCAGCCTGTGTTTAGATCCATCCATCCTCTCATCAACTGACTGACTTCTCTGTCTCGTTTCATAATCGGAATGACAACCTCAGGCTGACGTTTCAGTTTTCCATCATGCAAAGCATTTTGGGGGCAGGTTTTAAAGTTCATTTTAGGTTCCCTTTACATCCCTGCTTGCTCTCAGGACCCAGAGTCCTTCATACCTCTGCTCTAGTACAGCTGATTCAAATAACTCTATTATCTCCTCAGCATGCCATTAAAAAAAGCCTGATTATCCCTAACACATTTACATCAGGACGGCACCAAAAGGGGAAAAGCAGGTAAAGCATTTAGTACAGAGGACAATGATGACGGCTTCTTCTCTGAATAATAAACTCTTTGATTGTTCACTCAGTTTATCTGGAGGGTCATGCATTTATAACTTTGCAGTTTTACCGTCCTGTTTACGTTTTCAGCATTTTAAGCAGCACTCCTATTATTGCAACCTAATGCTGTTTTAACCCGCCACATAACTTTCTCCAGCCCAAAGGGGAGTAAAACCTTTTGCAAGAGGTTGAAAAGTGGATGTGCTGTATCTTCTTCCAAAATAAGCGGTTAAAGGTATAATGGAGGATGTTCTTTTTCCGGGTGGATCATCAAAATAAGTGGTTCTCCTAATTGTCCATCACTCTGGTGATACATTTCCGTAAGGCCGTCCTACTTGCTTGTCCCTATTTTCACTTACCCGTGGTGAGTCTGACATAGTGGAAAAAATTGCAAATCTTCTTTTGGAAAGTAAGCTTGTATAAGTGATGCAAACAGCAACTTTTAAACAGAGCGTGCATGAGGAGAAATGGGCTCCTACATGCTTTTGCATGCGTTTAATAGGAGCAGGTACAGGGTGATATGTATGTGCATTTTTTTTTTTATTATTGGAGAGGGCAGGTTTTTCAAAAATATGTGAAAATCTTCCACTATATCTTTAACTTTGAACAGGTTTTAATGTCTTTTTTATTTATATGAATCAAAATTGTAATGTTCCCTTATGTAAATCAGAACTAGTCCTTTTAAAAGAGCAGTGTAAAACTAAATCCCTCCTTCAGCCCTAATTTCATCAGATTTTGCATTGGCATTAACTTTAATCCATCAACTTTGGCCCCCTCTCAGGCATAAGCCCCTTATTAAGTGTTCACTGGACTGATTTCAGCTTCTGGGTTTTGTAATGTGTTTTTAGGAGCAGTGAAAGAAACATAATGAAAGTGATGTCCCTGATATTGTTTGTCCTCTATTGCTCCAGTTGTAAAATCTTTCGACTTATGGACATGGTGAAAACCATTTCATCTGCCGTTCTCTGGTTTCCTTTTAGTAAAACAGGATGCTATGGGCAGCCACTTTAGGGGAAAGTGAATTTAACAGTAATAGCCTCATTTATTTCACAATATCACCTCCATAATTATATTTATGTCATTACTTGATGTGAGAGCATTCAATATATTTTTAACTATTGGTATCATTCAGAGATCAGATCACTGTTTTTGTTCTTTCCAGAGAGGGAAAACTTTATTTTCCTGTATTAACAAAATCTAATTTGCTGACTCAGCTTACTACAAGGTTGAAACTCCAATAAAATATGAACTGCTTTTATTTTCATGCAGAGGAGATGAATACAGCCACCTTCTTTCCCCAAAGGACCGACATGTTTTCTTTGACATTTATCTTTTTGGTCTGGAAATTGAGGGTTTAATTTTGAACAGCTGCATTCTTTATTGTCTCTAGGAACATACACCTGCAGCACTTTGTCACTTTAAACTGTAAAAAAA